CTCCTACCTCTCGTCGTCGTCGCGCGTACACTACGACGACGTACACACACACACACACACACACACACACACACACACACACACACACACACACACACACACACACACACACACACACACACACACACACACACACACACACACACACACACACACACGTGCCAAATATCACAGGATCATTGAGTTCACTGTCCGCGTGTGGTTCACTTCGTATCTCCCATCCCAGATCACAGCCATCCTCACAGCGAGCGATAACTTGCCAACCTCTTATCCTGGCAGTAGTATTACACCAGAAAGAAATGTGAGATTATTTACTCCTGATTATACTATTATATTATTGTATATTATTACAGATGTAAGGGCATGATAAACATGTAGGTTCAATCGCTTAGCATTATTTCGTTGCAAACTATAATTATCAATTATTATAAAATCAAGAGGTTAAGCAAATGGTTGCCCGTGAAAAATGTGCCCCGTACTATGCCCGTACTAAGTAAGATTAATGTAAGAACATAGACAGGGCTAGGATGTCGGTTGCTATGTTACAAGGCTGCATCGTTCTGGTTGCTAGGTTACGAGCATGCATCATGCTGGTTGCTATGTTACAGTGTTGCAGCGCACCAGTTGCTAGGTTACGTACACACATCATACTTGTAGCCATGTTTGATGCATACATTATGCTTGTTGCCATGCTACTTTTATGCAGTGCAACCAGCGGTTGCTAGGTTACGTGCATACATGATACTGGTTGCATGTTACATGCATACATTATGCTCGTAGCCATGCTACTTTGATGCAGTGCAACCAGCGGTTGCTAGGTTACGTGAATACATTATGCTGGTTGCCATGATACGGTACAGCAGCGCAACCACCGGTTGTTATGTTACGTGCATACCTCATGCTGATTGCTAGGTTACGTGCATGCATCATTCTGGTTGCCACGATACATTCATTCATTACACTGGTTGCCATGCTGCAGCACCGCAGCACACCGGTTGCTATGTTACGTGCATACATCATACCGGTTGCTACGCTACGCGCATACGTCACGCCGGTTGCTATGCTACGCGCATACGTCACGGCTAGTTGCTACGTTACAGGGCTGCAGCTGCTGCACTGCATGAAGGCAGACGTGCTGAGCGGGGAGGAGCTGGAGAACGTCGGGGGAGAATCGTTCTTCGTCGACGGCTTCGCGATCGCCAACTGGTTGCGGGAGACGCATCCGGCGGCGTTCCACGTTCTCACGTCTACCGCAGTCAAGTTCAGCATCGTTAATAAGGGGGTACGTTCTAACGGCGGCTCGCGGCGAGGGGGCGTGGCTTGCTGACGTGTTGATTACGTAATCACGCAGCCGCCTAGGGGTGTGAGATGCACAGCATTGCGAACAAATGTATTTAATAGCGGTATTAGTGTTTCTTAATTCTATAATATCGCGTAGCTTCTATTTAAATGGCGTTTTACTGTCTTTCTGTGGACGTTTTAAATGCTTTTGACAGAACTATGTCTCAATTTTCCTTCTTTATATTTCACCCGGAAATTGGTAAAACAAATTCTGAAAATTGAACAAAGCTGAAAATTGCAGGAGAAACCATTACAACTTCCGTTGCGTTTCCCTGATATTAGTATATTATGTATATACATATATATACATATATATGTATATATATATATAGATATATATATTTATTACATGTATATATATAATACATATATATATATACATATTCCCCTGCCAGTGTCTCTCAGAAATATGCCCAACTACAATTATGCGTATCCTTGTCCAACATATTCATCGTCTCTCTATCTATTCTCTCTATCTTGTCTCTTTCCCTGCGCGCAGCACCGCTATTCACAGAAGGTTCCCATCATCTGTGTAGACAAGGCGGGAGATATCGAGGAGGTGCACGTCAACAACCGCACGATGGGACCTCTGCAGGTTCCCAGCCACCTTGTGCTGCCCTTCTACCACGCATACAAGTAAGTTTACTATCACCAGGGGTTAATAATGATAGATTTGTTATAGTGTCATAATGTCATAATGTCATAATGTCATAATGTCATAATATCGTAATGTCATATTTTCATATTTTCATAATGTGATAATGTCAAATTTGTCATAATGACAATTTGTCATTATTCACCCGTGCTATCAATGATGTTGACATATTAGTGAATTGAACGCTAGAAGTCCCTGTTAGAAACCACTGGTAAGATCTTTTGGCGATTTTGAGTTAGTTATTGGGTTTGCAAGCTCTATGCATGTTTTATGAAATACTCTGTGTGTCTTGTGAAAATTTTAGCGATCGTATGAAATTTTCGAAGATCGATCTTGTGAAATATTTGAGGATATTAGGAAAGCTGCTGTGACCGTATAAAATCCTTGACAATCTTATCATATCCTCGCTGATCTTGTGAAATCTTTACCGATCTTATCAAATCTTTACCGACCTTATAAAATCCTTACCGATCTTATAAAATCTGTTCGATCTTATAAAAAATCTTTTAGGATCCTGACTAACAAAATCAGAGACGGCAGTCACGAGCTGAGATTCCACATGCAACCCAAGGACCTCGTCTTGTTCAACAACCGACGCGCTCTGCACGGACGCACGCAGTTTGACCCTTCAAAGATATCCAGGTAAGGAGGGGGAGGGGGAGGGGAGGGGGAAGAAGGAGGATGAGGGTGGTAGCTGAGAGTGGGGTGGGGTGGTGGGTGAGTGAGTGCGTGAGTGAGTGAGTGAGTGAATGAGTG